CTTGTGTATGGGTATTATAGGAATCACAAGAAATTTCATGATGCCTTTCCGCCTCTCGCATGCCAATGATTGCAAGTGGAATTGAATAAGCCTCGGCCACCACAAAGATATTGGGAGTTCCACTTCAGTAATGCATATTGTAAGAAAACCTTTTTATGCAACTAGCTAATAGCGGGTGGAGTGAATGCTAATAGCGGGTAGAGTGAATTTGATGGAATACTTCTATCTTGAAATTTTCCGAATTTTAGGGACCCTCTGTGCAATCGATCACATCCACACTGTAACTGAATCACGTATGATCTTTTCAAGAGCAGCACTGAGAAGACTGGGAAAGGCCTCCTTGCAGAGCGTCGTGAAGTTGTTATGGAGCTCACGAAGTATCCTTGTATATTGAACAGGAGCGCTGTCGTAACTTTCGTACGACCACTTCGCGCACTTCTTCCATTGCGGCCGTCGCACTGTTAACTTCTCTACGGAACTGGACGATCACAGGATATGCGCAGTTTCTATCAAGGACCGGCAAGCTGAGGAGGATTATTCCTAACGAACGGGTGAGGTTTATAATTTTGATGGTGACGATATCTTGATTATCTCTTTGCGTAGCTGTCCATTCCCCGAACAGCCCCTGGTGCGCAGCCCGTGGAAGATGGAATCTCGGTCGTCGTATGGATAAGTGGAGTTGGAAATCCTGCTCCGTTGCGAGTGGCGACCGGATGTGCCGAACGCCCCACGGCAACGCCACTGCGCGTGAGCACGAGGGTTGACGCGCATTGGCGACCCTGGTGAGGTGACGTACCAACCCATAGGATTTTTAGTTAAGCTCACCTATTGCTCTGTTATTAAGCATAAAGCCACTTATTTCTTTTATGTTTTGTTGTGTAGCAAGAGAAGTCCATCTCTTCCATATTTATTTCTAACATGATGGACAAACATTCTTTCTCTGTTTCTTTGATCCAGTACGCGCATAGTATATCGAACAAGTTCAACATTAACGTTAACATGATTGCCAACAATCTTTTTTAACCTTAATCTCCAAACGCAGTGTTTCGGGGAAGTCGTATTCAAGCGCAGGGTCACAGTGGTCGTAATAATTGGATCGCAGGGACGCACGTAACACCCAGTGGCACCACATAAGGAAGAGGACCGCCAACACCGTGGCAAGGCGAGGTTGTCAGGCGCAGTACCCTTATGCTCTTCTCGGAAGTCACGGCGGCGTTCACTTCACAACCTCCTTCCATCGTCGTGTCTCGTGGAGTGCGCGTCCGCCCTGGTTCCTTCAGACTCCATTCACCGCTTCTGTCTCAACGGTATCAAGGCTTTCCTCAGGTCGATGAGCTCAAGGCACAACAGCATCCTGTATCTCGCGGAACCTCAAACACGCGACATCTGGCTGACGCCCTTCACAGCGAATTTGTGATCAAAAGAATGACAGGTCATACAGGAGCAGGTGGTATAAGGCGCTCTCGAAAGAATATGGTATCAGTGAAGGAGATGAGCCAGTAAATATTACTTACAGGGGGTCAACTAGCTCAGCGGTCACCTATAGGACAATGAGATCATCTACTGCATAAGCTCAACATAGTTTCATTTCGATCACAATAAAGCGAATCGTATTGGGAATGTTTCGTATTAGTTTCGATAGAAACCAGTTGGGCCGCCCGGTTTACGCCGGGCCCTCATTCTTTACATTTATTAATCAGTTAGAAATGCCCCCCCNACATACCGACATACCGACATACCGACAAACACCCAAACCGACAAACCGACACACCAAGTTTCTGCTTTATAAATGAGAGAGATAAAGCAGTAACTTGGTGTGTCGGTTGTCGGTATGTTTGTCGGTTTGTCTGTCTGTCCGTCTGCAAAACTTTATGATTACGATAAGGGCAGTGATATGGGAAATCCAGCTCTCACATTTCCCTCTTATATGTAAAGCAGTAAATCGGTGGTGGGTAGGATAATGGAGTGGAGCGAGTGCTGCGGAATGAAGTGAGTATGAGTGAAGCGAATACTTCGAGACATTATCATTATCCACATGGGAAAATCAGCATGAAAAGAGAAGCGCAAAGTATGTACCGATTTCACCGAAGAAGAGGTGCAACCTATTCCAATCCTTATTGAGCAGAAAAAAAGTGTAAAATGTACCATATACAAGCACGCGTATTATAATAGCGCCGCTGTCTGGGGAACCTGATATTTACATAATCGGCAAGTGTGTCTGTTGATGTGTGTGTATGTGTATGTGTGTGTATGTGTGTGTGTGTTTGTCACACCTGAATTCATAACTCCTGTCCCACTGTAGCTAAAGCATCC